GGCGGCTACTCGTCTCCGGAACTCCTGCGTAGGCGAGACCGGTGCAAAATCGCGCAGCACGCGCTTGACGAGGGAACGTTCCTCGGCATTACGGTAAGAGTGTGGAAAATATATGCCAAATCTGGTTGGGATACATTGCAACGAATCGATTTCACGGTTGAAGGGTGGACACACATACGGCAACTTGTTCTCAAAAGCGCTCAAGGATAAACACATGCTGTGCATTGGTCTTTACCGCCTCCAGGACCCGCTTTCACCGAAATGCATCAAGCGGTACGTCATCACTAGTCCCCCTGCCGACATGCTGCTTGAGTCTACAGACCTAGTAAGGAAAAACAGGCATCATAGGTCGCTAGGCATTCGCGTCCTTCCAAACCTCCTGTTATTTAGGTCTTCGTCCTCGAACCCTTCGACCGTGGTCTGCCGTACGAGCCAATAGAAAGAAGAAACTCCAAAAGCTAGTGACAGCCAGCCAGTCACAAAGCGCGTTTCTTCGAATAGCGGCGGCAGGCCAGTGGCAGCCGAAGTCCACGACGCAGCAGGACCCAAGCCACTTCTTGTGCACTACACTAACTTATTGCTGTTACGTAAAATACGTTTCGTCGTCGTGTGCATATTTATATGGCAGAACGATCACCAACAACAATGTATGACAGACTTATGAATAATTAATTGAATTTTTTATTTACTGTTTTAAAAAGTACATGAAGAATATAGAGCGCATGGTTTTGTTTATAGTTGTTTCTAAAAAGTTTATTCCATGCAGATATATATTTAAGTTCTGTTCAATGTTTCGAATCCCCGGAAAACATCCCCAGATGACAGTCTTCAAAACCGACTCATAATATGTGATTATTTAATTCACATAATCGGTGATGACCGACTGAATAATCAATGCTTTCTTGATATGTATACAAGGAATATGAATGTCTTTGCGAATTACACCAGGAATAAGACGACAAATAGTGCTAAATTCTACTAAACCACCAAACCCAGATATACAGATGTACTATTAGCTATATACTGAATATAGAGCTAATGTTTTGATACTCTGTCCTTGGTGGAGAGGAGCGGCACTGTTCAATGAGGTTAACCGAGAACATGTCTGCTGACACCCAATTATAAATATTAAATAATTTTTGGAACCCTCACGGGTTATATTTCTGTAAAGAAAATAACTTCTAACGTGATTCAGGTAGCAATACGGATTGATGAAGTCATTTACAATTGAGCACTGCATTCTGAATAAGGGTAAAGCAATACTACTGCAGTGCCGTACAGAATTTGTTACATCTCCTTTAATTTACTACGTCAGCATACATATACAGCTAGTATTGAAGTACCTTGTATAACCGAGCAGTATTGGTAGATGGTCTTAGATTACGAGGTGTCATTTAAGGTACTCTTCTGTATTAGAACAACCTAAAGCTAGTACTTAACTATATATCGTACATT